GCCTAAAGGAGGTGGGAGAGATATGGGGGCAGGGCTGGACTCAGATGAAGCCAGAACCTATTTCTTTGACTCGGATATGGAGAAAGGCCCTTTCCTGGAAGGATCAACCTAAGATGACCTAGTGGGGAGCCCTTGCTCTGCTAAGCCTGGAGGTGCCCTGGCTTCTCCTCCTGCCTATGTTTGCATGCCTGATGACAGAGGAGGGGGTGGGCAGGATGTGGAAGACCCTGTGTTGAGTGGCAGCTCTAGGAGGGACCAAGGACACTGCCCTAGTCATGCAGTCCCTACACACACTTCCTTCCTGACTATGAGTTCTGTGTTACCTGCACAGGGCATGGAGCTCAGGGCCAGGTGGAGACAGGGGCACTTCAGCCTGTAGTGCCTCAGCTTCTCAGACAGCAATGGGAAGGGATAACCCTCACCTACATGGGTGGGGGATGTGTTGGGTATCTGTGAATCCCCTCTTTACCCTCTTTGGCTGGATGGTGACCCATCTGTGTGCATTGTGATGGGCTCCAGGCTAGGGAGTCCATTGTACAGGAAATCCTGGAGGCTCAAGGTTGGCAATAAGCTAGCCCCTCTTCAAGAGAACCTATAGACCCTTGGCCATCAGCCTGCACCTTCCACCTTCTGGGAACTGGAGTCTGATTCAATAAGCCAGGCCTGCCTGGGTCTCAGGTCTGAGGACAGCCTTTGGGGAGGCCTACCCTTGTGTGACCTGAAAGAGCTGTCCTGGCAACTGCTGCTCGGGGGTCCAGGCATCTGGGCCCAACAGGGTGGGAGGGTGTGGTGGCCTCTGTGGTGTGCTGCCTGGAGACCCCTCAGCTGAGGCACCCATAGCCCACCTGGCCTGCTTGAAGCCAAAGATCCCCCAGGCATTGCCTTCAGCAATTCGATGCAGCCCGTGGGAGGCAGTCACATCTGGCCTTCCCAGGGTGGCAACTCTGGGAGCCACCCCAGCTCCAGAGCATCTAGGGTCATAGTGAAACTGCTGCCTCTGCCCCTGCTGCCTTGCCTGCCCCTTTTCAGATGGCATTCCCCAAAGTACTCCCTGGGAACCCTCTATGGGCAAACCATTGTCTCAGAGCCAGTCAAGGGAGTCTGTGCCTTGGCAGCCTTCACCAGATGGGAAGTGTGAGCAAGGGGCCTGGGTAGCTGGACCAGTGCCTAGAGGACCCTGAAGGATCTGCTCACCTGGTCAGGGGTCATAGAAATCAAAGCAGGATGGCCCTGGGAATCTGGCCAGGCCTACCTCCAGTAGCGAGGGGACAAGACATGGAAGACAAGTTCATGGAAACACAGGATGAGCAGGGAGAGTCAGGAGCAGGTGCACACCCTTCTCTGGGAATCTGGAATATTCTGTTAGTCTCAAGCTGATGGAGAGCAAGCCCACCTGTACAGACCCAGGGCAGCTTGGTAGTTGTAAGAGAAGCTGTGAGAGCAGGGCCAGTGGCACTCTGCTCCCCAACCACCTCCGTCTACCTGGAGAGGGTCTCCTGGTGGTCAGTGTCCATGTTTGCCCTCTTCTGTGCTTCCCCAGCTGGCAGGGCCCAGGCGCCTGATGTTTTCCAGATGTTCTTGCTTCCAGGGGCTGGGATGCAGGTGGAGAGGCAGGCACTGTCTTCCCTGGGGCCAGGTGGAGGCATGACACACGGTTTCCCCATGTGGGTTTTAGCGAGGTCAGACCTCATGTGCCATCATCTTGATGTTCTCTTTAGGAAGTTGGACAGGTCTGCATTGCAGCAGCATCCTGACATGCCATGGTTTGCATTCTGCCTTTCCCTCAAAGCAGGGGCCAATTTGGCCAAGTCCTGGCATTGCAGCTGCATGGGCTGACCTGGAGGCTGCAACACCCCTCACCCCACATTCACTCCCCAAGACCTTGCAGCATTTCCCAAGCACCTGTCTTATCTTACTTGCATCCTGTTGGATGAAGTTTCTTAGGCCTACACTGATCCCTGATGGAGACACCCTCCCACACAGAAGACTGGAGATATATTTTCAGGAAAAATTTCACTGAGCCTGCAGACCATGGGGACACCAGGCATGAAGGAAGGTGCCATGGGTCTCAACTAAGAATAGGAGACTTAGTGGAACTGCCTGCCAATGGCCAGCACCATGGTTCCTTCTCGCCCAGATCCTCTTCTCCCAGAGACCACTTGCAGCCAGACTCAACCCCCAGCAGGGAACAAAAAGAGCCTTCATGGAGAATCCAAACTGTACCACAGAAAAGACCCATAATCACTGGAAGCCTAGCCAGCTGCCTCCTTTCCTCACAACAGAGGCTACTGACCAGGCTAGCCATGGCTCTTGCTTGAACCGCTAAAGTCTGGACACCCAGGAGTCAGGAAGATGCCTGAGCATCTCTGGCCAGGAAAGAAGGGGTCAGAACAAAGGAAAATGAGAAAATCAGAGGAGACAGAGATAACGAAGGGAGTGGAAGGGATTAATAGCTGTAAGTGGAATCCTAATCAGCAAGTGCAACCTTAAAGGAAGTTCACTGGGAAGGACGCTGCACCAAAGGTGTGTGCTGACAGCCGCATCCGTGTTGAACTCCAGAAGATACAAAGTGAGGGATGAAGCCAGGCAGAGGAGGGGCTGCGGGAACAGAAGGAAACTACGGGAGATGGCTGTGGTGATGGTCTCACAGGCATACAACACATCAAATTATATCTCATCATACACTTTAAAAAACATTTTTTAAAATTATTTTTGGAGTGAGAGTTCCACTCTGTCACCCAGGCTGAAGTGCAGTGGCACAATCACGGCTCACTGCAGCCTTGACCTCCTGGGTTCATGTGATCTTTCCACCTCAGCCTCCCAAGTACCTGGGACTAGAGACATGCACCACCACACCCAGCTAGTTGTCTTGATTTTTTTTGTAGAGAGGAGGTCTCGCTGTGCTGCTCAGGCTGGTCTCAAAATTCTGGGCTCACGTGATCCTCCAGCCTCCACCTCTGAGTGTTGGGAATATAGGTGTGAATCACTGTGCCCAGCTGCTTCGTACAGTTTATGTGTGGTTTATTGTATATCACTTATACCTCAATAAAGTTGTTGTAAAAATAAGATAAACCAACCATAAGTGATATCCTTGGAAAGATCTGAGAAGATGGTATACTCATGGAATGAGTATGGGATGGTATTTTTAAAAAGCAATGACCAAAACCAAGAAAGAGCTCTTGAATAATCAATCACTGAAGTAAAAATTCATTAAGAGACTTGGGAAATAAATATGAGCAGATATTCCCAGAAGGTAAGACAAAAGTTCAAAGAGATGGAGACTAGAAAACAAAAATAATAAATTTTAAAAAAAGAAGGTCAATCAAGAACTCCATCCTCTGACTCACAGAGGGGAGGAGATTATCCTAGAAGGAGAAAAAGTCCATCTCTAGACACCAGAGTCTGGTTCTCAGGTGGGAAGAGCATATCACATTCTCTGCATAGCAACTGTTGAAAACTCAGACCAAGGTATATTGTGGGGGAAACTCTAAGTATCAAAAAAGAAATCCTAAGAGATTCCAGAGTAGAAAAAACTAAGAGATGATATATAGAATGTTAGGATCCAATGACACCATAAGCCGCTTAGATTATGCATCAGACTTGTCTCTCTGATCAGAAGTGGCTTGGTCCTGGGCAGTCCTCTTGGGTCTGTCCTCTGCAGCCACCCAGACTTCTTGCCTGTCAGTGGCTGCAGATGACTCCACTTCCTGGGAGACATCTCACCTTCTTCTAATGGCCCACAATTCCTCTGGCTGTTTCCAAGTGGTTTGAGTGACCAGCCCTCACCGGCCCACCCCACAGAAAACTCCCAGCAGTCCAGGACCAGGGTACCTAACACGTGAAATGCAGGTGGGCCCTCTTTCAAAAATTGAGGGGTTCAGACAGCAGTGCAATAAAATGAGTAGGATCCCCCAGAACACAGAATCTCCAGAGCCCTCCTAAGCCTGGGCCATCCTGAACCTGGGACCTTCCTGAGCCTGGGCCCTCCTGAGCCTTGGTCTTCCTGAGCCTGTGCCTTCCTGAGCCTAGAATCTCCTGAGCCTGGGCCCTCCTGAGCCTAGAATCTTCTGAGTCTGGGTTTTCCTGAGCCTGGGTTTTCCTGAGCCTGGGCCTTTCTGAGCCCGGGTCCTCCTGAACCTGGGTCCTCCTGAGCCTGGGTCTTTCTGTGCCTGAGCCTTCCTGAGCCTGGGTCCTTCTGATCCTGGGCCTTCCTGAGCCTAGAATCTCCTGAGCCGGGGTCCTCCTGAGCCTGGGCCCTCCTGAGACTGAGCCTTCCTGAGTATGGACCCTCCTAAGCCTGGGTCCTCCTAATCCTGGGTTCTCCTGAGCCTGGGGTCCTGTGCAATGTCATCAGCCACAGACCTGTGTGGCCAGCCTACCAGCATGGTGGCCATCTTGCTCCAATACTGCAGGAGGAAGAATAGGCCTGGGGTGAAGGGGTACCCAAGGATACTCAATGAGAGATACTATGGTTGGGGTTTGAGCCCAGGCTTACCCTGGTCCAACACTCACAGGAGGACCCTGGAAATCTCTGGTTATTCCAGCTGGAGTTTGGATGCCACCCTGCAGAGAGGCACAGGAGAGGCAGAAACCAACCCGGACATCCCCTCTTCTACCAGCATGGGCATCCAGCCCTTGCCTCTGCCAGACATGGCTTCTGGCTTTTCCCTGAAGGAAGAACAAGAAGGCTGGACCCCTCAAAAGACCGTGGCCACCACCATCACTAACACTACCACCCCACCCTACCCCCAACCTGCTTGGCCCTTGTTAGCCCACACAGTATAGTTGTGTAACTCCCCATGTGGGGATGAGCCTGTCCCACCTGTTTGCTCTTCGGTGGGTGGCGAATAGGGCAGGGAGTGGGAAGGGAAGAAAAGGTCCAAGGAGGGCCCCAAAGTGGAGAGCCCCTCAAAAGACCTCTGGAGGAGGTCCCTTTGCCTCTCCAAGCTTCCCACCACTTGAGTGAGCAACACAGAGGCCCTGCCAGGACCGACTCCTGGTGAGAAGCTTTATTCTAGCCCCAGTGGTGGAGGGTGGGAGGCTGTGGCAGAAGGCTGGCATCAAACCGATCCTGGAAAGCCTAGAGAATGCCCACGGCCCAGGGCAAGTTCACAGCCAGCCCTGGGGCTCCCAGAGAGTGTCCATGGCCTAGGGTGCGTTCACAGCTGGTTCTGGGGTTCCCAGAAAGTACCCACAATCCAGGGCATGTTCAAGGCCAGTCCTGGGACTGTCAGAGAGTGTCCACAGTCCAGGGTAAGTTCATGGCCGGTCCTAGGACTCCCAGAGAGTGTCCATGGCCCAGAGCTAGTTCACGGCCAGTCCTGGGCTCCTTGCTTCTGGCCACAACTTCTGGTAGGCAGCACCTACCAGAGACCCCAAGACCTGGTCCACAGCACCCACAGCATACATCCTAGGTGAGGGTCATGCACAGAGAATCCTGGCTCTTGTGAGCCTTGGCACCAGGGGGCACAGCCAGTGCAGATGCCTCCTGAAACTCCTTGCCCATGTAGTAATAGCAGATGGCATCCAGGCAGCAATTGGAATCCGAGAGCTTGCTGGTTAGGTAGAGGGCACGGCGGAGAATGTTCGGGAGACCACAGGACGGGCCCATGGCCACACGCACTGTCAGCACCACGTGCAGTGGCAGGAAACAGACCACGAACACGGCCAGGTTGGCCCAGACCATGCGAGTAGCCTTTCGGGTGCCCTCTGCCTGCCCCATATCAGTGGATGGCCTCTGGGCCAGGGCAGTCACCACCTGAAGGGAGCAGAAGACCAGCACGGCAAGCGGCAGGTAGAAGCCCATCAGCGAGAACAGCACAGTGCTGGAGTTGTGCCGGGGTTGGCTTGTGAAGCAGAAGCCACCCTCCTGTATTCCCAGGATCCAGCGGACCACCAGGGAGCTGATAACTAGCACCCAGAGCACTGCACACACGGCCACGGCCTGCTGCGGGGACCGGAGCCAGCGGGCACGTAGCGGGTGCCGCACAGCCACATAGCGGTCGACAGCAATGGCCATGATCAGACTGATGCTCATGTACCTGTTGGTCAGGTAGATGCCCTGGGAGAGCTGGCACAGCGGCGTGTCTGAGGTGCCCTTCATGGAGTGTAGCACAAAGGGCATGGCACACAGCAGGCAGAGGTCCGCCACCGCCAGGTTGGTCATGTAGATGCGGGTCTCTGTCCACTGTTGCATGCGGCAGCAGAACACCCAGAGTGCCAGGCCGTTGAGCAACAGGCCCAGCACCAGCACCATGCCTGAGTAGGCATAGAAGATGTGCTGGAGGGGTGAGGGCCAAGTGAGGTTCCTGGAGTCACAGGTGTTATTCATGGTCCTGGGGCTGCAGGGAAAGCAAGAGGTTCGCAGGTGGGATGGGGGAGTGGGATGGGGGAGGGAGGCCCTGTCCCACTGCAGCCCCATCCCAGCCCCTGAGGGATGCAGGAGGAGGTGAGCCTCTGCTCCACATCCACAAACCCAAAACTTCCCTTTCCAAATAAACAGAAGCCATAAAGAGCTCTAAGTAATCCTCAAGGTCTAACCCCTGCTCACTGGACAGTGGGGAAACTGAGGCCTTCAGAGTCCCATAGGGTCCATGGTTTCACAGTGAGCCATCCCAGAGCTGGAAACAGATCCCTCTTCACAGTTCCCAAGTCCTTCTCTTCTGGGACTTGCCTGCTGTCAGGTGGGGTGGGAGGCAGAAGACACTCCATGTTCATGTCCATCCCGCAGCTGAACAAGCCCCGACCTCCAGAGGGCACATCCTGAACAGGGAGTCCCAAGGGCTGCCAGCTTCACTTCAGCACACAGAGCACAGGCATGGTGCCAGTCTAAGGATGCCATGACTGGGCTCCAGGACAAAGTCCAGGGTGGCCTACTGCCTCCTACCCCTGGACCTGGCTGCAAGAGACTCCTACCTTTGAATCCACACCTCGGTGGGGTGGGCAGTAACCACCCCACCTGGCCACTCCCAACAGCAGAGGTTTAGGACAGCAGTGGGTGTGGCTCAGGACTGCTTGCCAGAAATTCTGGAACTCTGGTCTCCTTCCTTCCCTGTGAGCTCCCACCCACCGACCCAGTCCTGTGCTCTGGAGGTCCTGCTTGGATTGGCCTGAGGCCCTATCCCAGACCCACGTCTGGGATCAGGGTGTCCACCCCTGAGCTCCCAGTGAGCAGAGCCCATGAGGGCAGCCCTGCCCCTCCGGGCCTTGACCATGCTGCTCAGGGGTACTCTTGGGGTGGAGCTGAGTGTCCTCCTCCCTGTGGTTATCAGGAGTACCAGCAAGGTCACCCTTCCACTGTTCATGCCAGCCTCTTGCTGCCCTGTACACCCTCCATGATGCAGCCCAGAGAGTTCAAGACCAGCCCAGGAGAACTTGGGTAGAGGTGTAATGTTCAGGGCATAAACTGGATTCACCCTGACTTGGCCTCCCTCTCAGCTGGGCAAACCTCATTTTCCCTATTGTAAGGGCATTGCTGGTGTCACACACGTGGCATGGCATGAGACAGAGTGCCCAGAGAACACCCAGAGCCTAGGATACACCAGTCATGTGCCCTGGCCCTTTGGTTCTTCTCTAGGTCTAGGAGGGGCCTGAAGGTGGGTATTGGGAATGACCTCTCCCCCATGGCCTGGTGGGTCCTGTGTGGCATCCCAAGGAGGGGCTTCCTGCTGGACCTTTCAGACCTGGTATAGAAAATGAGGAGGACCCAATCCACAGAGGAGGACCTCCTCCCTCTGCCCAGGGGAGCACAAAAGGCCCCTCCCCATATGGGAGAGTGCAGAATACCCAGGACCATTAGAGCCAGGGCTGGGGGCGGGGCCTCATTTCCTCCATGGTGGCCCCCAGGGAACGTCTAGACCCACAGTCCATTAGGGAAGCAGTGCACAGATTTCAGCAGAAACAGAAATATTCCACCCTCTTATTTCATTCCATCTCTTTGGGCTCCATATCTGTTGGACTAAAATGGCACATTTGCCAGCAATTAAGTGAAGTCTCTGTGACCCTAATGGTTCTCTCCTCACTTCTGAAGGATTCTGCTGGCTTTGTCTTTGATTCACAAGTAATACTTCATCCTGGTTCTGAGGCCCTTTGAGGGACCCTGAGTCAGGCAAGTCTCCAAGGACCCCCTAGGCCCTACCAGAACCAGTTGATGGGACCCTCCCTTCCTGTTTATCCTTTGCTCCCTGCTGCAGCCCACCCAGAAATGTTCTTCTTGACTTCAGAACCTGCTTAGAATCCACAGGAGCCAACTCCTCGAGGTGGTTGGCACTTCAGAGGTGCCCAAACTAGGCAGAGGCTGGGGCTGTGTGGCAGGAAGGGCTCTGATGCCACCTGAAACCCCACTCTCACCACCTGAGGTCTCCTCCTCTGAGGTCTTCCTGCCTGAAAGTACAGGGCCAGTTCTACCCCACTCAAAGCCCCGGCTGGCAGACCTTTTGTGGGGGGTGTCTGCATGACTGCAGGATTGTTCGCTGTCCCTTCTTGACTACCAGCAGCCCAGGGCCTGGCCTTAAGGGAGGTGAGGACAGTGGGGCTCTTGGGCCCGGCCCCTTCCCACTTCTGTCTTACCCCACCACCACCACCGCTGCTCATGACTGCAAAGGATCCCCAGTTCACACATACCCAGGTTGTAACTTTCAGGTTAGCCTCAGTGTGGCCCAATATTTTGTAGGGGAAAGTTAACAAACCTAACAGCAATCTTTAGAATTTCCTACTTATAATAAAACAACTACTGATCTAAAATATACACTTTGAGCTAGACTTGGTGGCTCAGCCTGTAATCCCACGCCTTGGGAGGCTGAGGTGAGTGGATTGCCTGAGCCCGCGGGGTCGAGACCTGCCCGGGCAGCGAGACCTCATCTCTACAATAAATCAAAAAATTAGTCGGGCGTGGTAGCGCGTGCCTGTAGTTCCAGCTACTTGGAAGGCTAAGCGGAAGGATCGCCGCAGCCCAGCAGGTCGAGGCTGCGGTGGCCGGGAGCGGCCACTGCACTTCAGTCTGGGCAACAGAGTGAGACTCCAACTCAAAAATAAAATAAAATAAAATAAAATACACACTTTGCAAGAGTTTCGAGGTACACATAAGCTTTGAAGGAACGCCCTGCTCCTGGGGCCTTTGTCTCTCTGTCTTTCGGGGTACCTCCAAAAAAAGTTCAGAAGGTCATTTCTAGGGCTTGGCCCACTTGGCATGGGTTCCACAAAAGCTGCCACAGCCAGCATATGTCCCCACCTGCCCCTGGTTTGAACACGGGTGTCTATATCCAGGACACAAACCCCAGCTGGCCTCCTGCTTCCAATATTCAGGCCTGTCCCCCTCAGCAGATACCTTGTGCCATCAGCTGCCGGGACCCTTCCATATAGCTGGCACTCAGGGAGCTCAAGCTGCCCCAGCCCACTAGGATGGGGCCCTGTCACTTCCTGCCAGGGAGGTTGCTGTGGAGAGAGGAGTCAGCACCACACCTCCGAGGCCCCACTTCTTCCTCTGATGGCAAAATCAGACTCAGTCCCCAAACAAGAAGCAGAAAGCTGCCCTTTGACTCCACGCTGAATCATCCAGGAGAGAAATCTGCGGCCTCAGGTGGGAGATCTGTCTACACTGCGCCACCCCCAGCCCTTCCTGCTGCCTGGACGGGGACCTTGAAGACCCTTGAGTGCTTGGCCAGCCTGGAATCTGGCCTACGGACACCATGCACTGGCTAAGACATGGAGGCAGGGAGTGGGGCGCAGACCCCTGTTGCACAGGCACCATAGAGGACTCCTAGCCCTAGGGCTGGACCTGCCACAGAAAAACACCCCAGGATTACAGGGTGGGTGTGTGAGGGAAACAAATTTGCAAAACTTGCTGCCCACTTCAGGACACAGCACTCGGCTATTTTCCATTCTTATTTTTAAACACTGGTCACAACCTGTGAAATAAAGATGACTCTTTCAACCCTCATGGAGGACACCACTCCTTCTCCAGACCTCATGCCTCCACAGACCTCCTCCAACAGGAGGCAACTGATAAGTCTCCAAGTCCTTTCATAGCCTTACTCTCTTCTGAGACCCCATCACATTCTCACCCCACGCTGAGACCTTCCATCACGGTTTTACCCTACTCTGAGATCCTATCATGATCTCACCCCACTCTGACCCCGTCATCATAGCTTCACCCCATTCTTAGACTTTATCATGGCCTCACTCCACTCAGACCCCATCATGACCTCATCCCACGTGAGATCTCATCAGAGTCTCACCCCATGCCGAGACCCTACCACAGCCTCACCCCATTCTGAGGCCCCATCACAGCCTCACCCCACCATAACCTCACTTGCTCTGAGACCCCATCATGACCTCATCATACTCTGAGATGCCATCACAACCTCACCCCACTCTGAGACCCCATAACAGCCTTACTCCACTCTGAGACCCCATCATGACCTCACCCCTCTTTCAGACCCCATCACAGCTTCACCCCACTCTGAGACCCCATCACAGCCTCATCCTGCTCTGAGACTCCATCATAACCTCACTCACTCTGAGACCCCATCATGGCCTCACCCCACTGAGGCCCAATCACAGCCTCACCCCACTCTGAAACCCCACCATGACCTTAACCCACTCTGAGACCTCATCAAAGCCTCATCACACTCTGAGACTCCATCATGACCTCACCCTACTTTGAGACCCCATAGTAGATTCGTCCCACTCTGAGACCCCATCATGGCCTCACCCCACTCTGAGGCCCCATCACAGCCTCATCCTGCTCTGAGACTCCATCATAACCTCACTCACTCTGAGGCCCCATGATGGCCTCATCCCACTCTGTAACCCCATCAGGGCTTCACCCTACTCTGAGACCCCCCCATCACAGCCTCACCCCACTCTGAGACCCCATCACAGCCTCATCCTGCTCTGAGACCCCATTATAACCTCACTCACTCTGAGGCACCATCATGGCCTCATCCCACTCTGAGACCCCATTATGGCCTCACCCCACTCTGAGACCCCATCACGTCCTCACCCCACTCTGAGACCCCATTATGGCCTCACCCCACTCTGAGACCCAATCACAGCCTCCCCACACTCTGAGACCCCACCATGACCTTAACCCACTCTGAGACTTCATCACAGCCTCATCCCACTCTGAGACCTCATCACAGCCTCACCCTACACTGAGACCCCATCATAACCTCACTCACTCTGAGACCCCATCATGGCCTCACCCCACTCTGAGACCCCATCACAGCTTTACCCCACTGTGAGATCCCATCACAACCTTTTCCCACTCTAAGACCCCATCACAGCCTCACTCCACTCTGAGATCCCATCATAGCCTTACCTTACTATGAGGCC